ACAGGCTGCCCAGGGAGGTTGTGGAGTCCCCTTCTCTGGAGATTTTCAAGACCCGCCTGGATGCAGTCCTGAGTAATGTGCTCTAGGCAATCCTGCTTTAGCAGGGGAGTTGGACTAGATGCTCTCTAGAGGTCCCTTCCAACTCTGAAAATTCAGTGATTCTGTGAAAAGGCTGTGGGTGTTGTTTACTGGGACTTCAGTAAAGCCTTTGACACAATTTCTTACAGCATTCTCCTGGAGAAACTGGCGGTTCTTGGCTTGGACAGGGGTATTCCTCACTGGTTAAAAAAAAACCAAACAACTAAAACCTGTCTGGATGGCCAGGCCCAAAGAGTGGTGGTGAATGGAGTTGAATCGAGTTGGTGGCTGGTCACAAGTGGTGTTCCTTGAGGCTCAGTACTGGGGCTAGTTCTGTTTAATATCTTTATCAATGACCTTGATGAGGGGATCGAGTGCACCATCAGTAAGTTTGCAGACAACACCAAGTTGGGTGGGAGTGTTGATCTGCTTGAGGGTAGGAAGGCTCTACAGAGGGATTTGGACAGGCTGGATCAATGGGCTGAGGCCAATGGTATGAAGTTCAACAAGGCCAAGTGCTGGGTCCTGCACTTAGGTCACAATAACCCCATGCGATGCTACAGGCTTGGGGAAGAGTGGCTGGAAATCTGCCTGGCAGAAAAGGACCTGGGGGTGTTGGTTGACAGCCAGATGAATATGAGCCAGCTATGTTCCCTGGTGACCATGGTGGTCAACAGCATCCTGTCCTGTATCAGGAATAGTGTGGTGAGCAGGACTAGGGAAGTGATCATTCCCCTGTACTCTGCACTGGTGGGGCTGCACCTGAAATACTGTGTTTAGTTTTGGGCCCCTCATTACAAGACACATTGGGGTACTGGAGCGTGTCTAAAGAAGGGCAATGAAGCTAGTGAGGGGTCTGGAGAACAAGTCTTATGAGGAGTGGCTGAGGGAACTGGGGTTGTTTAGCCTATGGAGAGGAAAGGAGGCTCAGGGGAGATGTTATCGCTCTCTACAACAACCTGAAAGGAGGTTGTTGCGAAGTGAGTGTTGGTCTCTTTTCCCAAGTACCAAGTGATAGGACAAGACGAAATGGCCTCAAGTTGTGCCAGGGGAGGTTTAGATTGGATATTAAGAAAAATTACTTCACCAGAAGGGTTGTCAAATATTGGAACAGGCTGCCCAGGGAAGTGGTCGTCACCATCACTGGAGGTATTTAAAAGATGGGTAGATGTGGGACTTAGGGGCATGGTTTAGTGGTGGACTTGGTAGTGTTAGGTTAACGGTTGGACTTGATGATCTTAAGGGTCTTTTCCAACCTAAATGATTCTATGATTCTGCTGAAACTTGGTTATTTCAGGAGTGAAGAACAGCAAGCAGCTGATGTATAAAACGGCAGCAAGAGGAGAGCTTTGACCAAGAGTACAATGGCAAGTCCTGATCTCAGTAACAGCTTTGGGATATTTAGAGAAAATATGGAGCAAGTGGTCTTATGCCTAATCATAGAGGCCTCATCAGAGGAGTTAAAAAAAACAAAAGAAAACCAAAACCTAAACCAAACAAAAACCTCTTTAATAAAAAAAAAAGGCTCATGCATAGTCCTTGCATTACAGATCAAAGATGTAGTTGAAATTTATGATTCCTAAAATCAGGATATGAATGATGATTAGGGGATTAGAACGTCTCTCATATGAGGAAAGGCTGAGGGACTTGGGTCTCTTTAGCCTAGAGAAAAGAAGATTGAGGGGGGATCTTATCAATGCTTATAAATACTTAAAGGGAGGGTGCCAGGGGGATGGGAACAGTCTTTTTTCAGTGGTGCCCAGTGATAGGACAAGAGGTAATGGGCACAAACTTGACCATAGGAAGTTCCATCTGAACGTGAGGAGGAACTTCTTTACTTTGAGGGTGGCAGAGCACTGGAACAGGCTGCCCAGAGAGGTTGTGGAGTGTGCCACTCTGGAGACATTCAAAACCTGCCTGGACGCTGTCCTGTGCAACCTGCTGTAGGTGACCCTGCTCTGGCGGGGGGATTGGACTAGATGATCTCCAGAGGTCCCTTCCAACCCTGACCGTTCTGTGATTCTGTGAATGCAGGAGTTCCTGCTTCCAGTTTCCTGCCTGATCATTAGCTCTTTTCCCTGGTGCAGAAAGTTTATACATTCAGGGTTTTCTAGATACAGATACCAGAATTTTTTATTTAGCAAATATAGGTGTCTGTCTGGGCTTATTCACTAATATTTCTATAGCTGAAAGGATCCCAAAACTGGATCATCTGCTAAATTTCAGTTTTAATTGCTGAAGGTTCAGGAGATTATGTAGTTGGCCTGAAACCCCCCCTTCCTTCCATAAATCACTTCCTGATTGGAAGAAGCTGAGTTCACAAATGTAAAACATGAGCATAGAATATCTATTCCTCTGCACTGCAGTATGAGGGGAAAAAAAAAAAAGTAAAAACGTTCATTTCTTATGGAGAATGAAGTCTAGTACACAGTCTGCAATGACTTGAATTTGCCAGAGATTTGTGGTGAGACCTTTTAAGGAATAAATGCTTTGTAGATAGTGTAGCCTAAGTTAATATTAATAATTTGATTTTAATAACTAGCTCAGTTTTTGAATTAAGCATCTGGATGTAAAATGCTGAATGGCTTCCTGAAATATATTTTCTAGAATTAATCCTTCATGTGTTTTTTCTTTGATACAGTGTGTGGTATTAAGCATATACTGGTGTGGCATCACAGAGTGCTCACCCTTTGAGCAAGGCCATTTTGGCTTGGCGTCACTTTTAATGGATAGGAATCACATAGTTTGGGAATATCTCTGTGAACAGATTGTTTGTCATATACCAAGAATATATCTTGCTTTCTTACCACATCTACCAAAAATGATGGGAAAGAACTCCAGAAATAGAAAAGAATTAAAATATCATTGCCCTCATTGTGTTGCTTATAGACATTACTCCTGCTCCCACTAAAGTCAGTGGAGGAGAGCTGGCTCATGCACTGTTTTCTGTGTTTGTTTATAGCTGTGAATTTCTTTACAGAAATGATAATCAAATATTACTTAAAGTTAAGTTTTTTAATAGGAATTTTATATTGTCTCTTGCAAGTTTTTATTTTCTTTTCTCCTTTAAGCATGGTGTCATTGCTACAGAAGATGAAGAGTATTTTATTGAGCCTTTAAGGAATATAACAAAAAATTCCAGTAACTTTAATTATGAAAATGGTCATCCACATGTTATATACAAAAAGTCTGCCATGCACCAGCAACATCTCTATGCTCGTGGTCACTGTGGAGTCTCAGGTGAGTATGAGTGCTATTAAGTGCTATTACTTTAAAAAAAAAAAAAAACCACAAAAAAACCCAACCCAAAACAAACAAAAAACCCCAAACTCAAACTTATGACTTATTTTAAAATATCTTGCTTGGTTCACATGTAAGGTACAATGGAGAATATAGCAGTAGGAATCCTCCTTTTGGGTGATGCAGTGACTACTGTTGAAAAGTAGGTTTTGTTTTTTTTCAGATTCAGATAGAGTGTAGTGTCTTTCAAAATCTAAGATACTGGGAGTAAGTTTTGTTTTATTCCTGTGTTGTGTACAGTGGTAATGATGAGCACAAGCTTCCTCAAAATGTGCTATAAATATACTTCATTCTCTGACTGAAAGGTGTGACTGAGTGACGAAGTATTACAGCTCAATGTTTAGTAAGTGTTCCATCTCATTTGAGGAAACTTGATGTATAATAAATATGTGTTAGTATTATGATTAGTAATACATTTGTGACTGGACTCCACATCTTTCTCATTTATGGAGGTTTATGGTGTTTTGATACTGGCTTTTGGTTCAGGTTGGTAACATTATTCCGTGCTAGTTGAGTATGAGATTTACAGGTGCCTTACAGGAAGGATTATATGGTTTTGATTGAGATGTTTTCCTTGTAAAGCAGTTTTAACTTCCACAAAAACATTTTTCAAGTATTCTTTGACGTGACTTTTCAGTTGCTTAAACTGAAGGTGAAAACCAATTTCTTGATGGCAGCTTGGAGTAAATCCAACATTATATTAGAGCACTAAAATAATGGCTTTTTTTACACAATAGAAAAATGTCCTAACCTTGTTTGTTTATATCTCAGAAATAGCTTGTTCTTAAAAGTTCAGTCATGGATAGTTGTATTCCATAAGATTTAGTGCACAGGACAGGCTGACAAATACTAATCTTAAATATCATTGTTCATGATGTAACAGCTTCTTTTGGAGGTTGTAACTTTTACTGGCACCAGCTGACTAAACTTACAGTGCAGATTGTCCATGCTTGGGAGACAGTTTTTCCTGCATGGTTCATTTAACTGTGTTTAGACTCTACTTGTAGTGAATGTCAAACTTTATGTATGTAAGTTTGGAAGTGTTATTCCATCTACGTGCTTTTAATGATTGCAAAACAAGTCTCCTAACTACTACTGCCTGCTAACTGATTGTAAAATAAGAGTACTAATGTATGTGGGTGCTCCAATTTATGCATTTCATAACAGACATCTGCGAAGCATCCATCTCTCTCATTTTGTAGGGAATGCTGTCACTTAAGTCTCTTGAAATAAGTAGAAGGGTCATTGTCGTGTCCTCAAACCAGGACAGTCATGAAATGCAGGCCAATGCTACTTTTGGCATTATAATATTACTAGAAAAAGAAAATGTATTGGTCTCTGTCACATGTTATCTTTTAGATTATTGCTTAGGAAGTCACTCTCGTCCAAGCCAGGTTGAAGCAGTGGCAGCTAGTTAGATCATGTCGCATCCAACTGTTCTGGTGGTATGTGTTATATGGATCATAGGTCAATCAGAGCTATGCATCTTGTGTGCATTTTTTGTGAAACATGCAGTAATCTTTAGCATTTATTTCTTTGCATATTTGATGCTGCCTTTATTCTTGGAAGCTCCTGTGCATTTCCTGAGCTTCCACACCTGTCACATCCTGAAGTCCTTAATTATTGAAATACAGAAGCACTATTTCTTACAAGCCCAAGACTACTTTCATGCTCGTTCATCTCAGTTTCTCCTTTTTCTGTTGCTCTGTGTACTACTACCACTCTATGAAAATTTCTGAAAAACTTTGCTCTCCCCCAAAACTTCAGTCTTACTTTTCCAGATGATGTGCTATTTTAATGCTCTCCTGGGTACCAAAATCTTTTAAACGCATTTTCTGAGCACTGTTTCAGCTTTATCGCAAAGAGATATGGCATCCAAAGCATCTCCAGAATATCTAAAAAGTAAAATTAAATATTAATTTTCAGTTTCTCAGCTTCTAGACCCTAGGACTAAAGCCAGGTTTACAGTAATAACTTTTTACTAGTAGAATAAATCTTTGGGGCATTTGACTGTTTTTTGGAATCTTTGAACACTCTGATTTTGTAGTTGTTTTATTTATTTTAAAAAGTCTAAATGCAGCTGTAATAAAACTGTAAATGCACTTTTACCAGTATATAATTTATTTTGTCTGGGAGACTGATTTTTTTTTTTTTTAGTTGGTTTTTTTTTTTTTTTAGCTATACCTTCAGAACACTTTTGCCAGTACAACATACGCTGGGAGGAATCTGCTTGTGTAGCTGTGCTACTATTAACAGTCTGGCAAGTTTCCCCTACTGTAATCTAGACCTAAATTTATTATGTACCTGTTCTGTATCAGGGAAGTGGTCAGGATTTTGAAGTGTTGATAGAGACGAGTGTTATTTCTGACCTTTCTTAGAAAAATGGCAATAATTGACAGAAAGAGGGGTAGGTAGTTCGGAGAAAGGATGATCAGAATTGGTTGGTATGAGCAAGTGATAGACTACTTCATAGTAGATAGTATAATTGCAGTGGCAAATACAAGAGAAGAATTGGAGAGGCAGAGATAATATTTCCCTATTTGACAGATAGTTTAGGTTCAGATAAGAATATGGGATAGAACTGTGGCTGGTTTTCATAACCTAAATTAGATTTTAAGCAGTTAGACATAAGAATATTTTTTAAATAAAAAAGTTAAAATTAATAGTCTGTGTATATATTGTCATCGAGCTTACTATGTTTTATGAAATATAGCTGAAATTATTAAAGCCTTGCTAAGAAGTTGAGCACCTTCAAATTCCAATTGCTTCAATGGGATTTGAGACCACTGGGTTATTTTACAGAATGCTTTGTGGGTTCAGCCTCTAGAAGAGTTAGATTTTATTCATTTATATTCTGTGCAAAACAGTAACAACATCTAGGTGGTTTTCCAAAGAAAGGATGTCTCTAAGCCATGGAGTAGACAGGTATAAATGGGATGCCCAATGTAATTTGGTTAAAAGCTTATAATTTTAATATTAAATATTTAGAGAGGGCATGTCAAAATCCTCCATTTTGCAACAAATTTCTTACATTATGGATTGCTTTCTGTGGTATGCTTGTTTGACTGCATAGTTAATTGAAATGCTTATTTGTCTGATGCTTAATAGCATGCACTACATTAAAGTTGAAAAAATAATTTTTGTTATGATTCATTATTTTTGCATTTGCACTGTTTCTACTGAAAAGCTGTATGCTTGTATTTGTGTCTAAAGTTGAAATTCTGTTTTGTTGGAAGTGTGAAATAAAATTTCTTTACTTTCTTTGGAGTTGCAAGAATTTAAAAAAAACAAACAACACACTCTTGAAACAAAAAAAAAAAACCACCCCACCCACCCATGCACCCCTTGTTACAAATATACAGACTGTGTTTGGATAAGATTGAGAAACAACAAAAAGTGGCAGATTTAGGGATGGATCTGCTACATGTTGCCTCACGTAGTGGTTTTACTTGTGCCAGACTTTACAGTCAGTGTATTCTAAAATGAAAAAATGCTTGTATATACATTAAATGATGTTGTTAATAGTAAGAAAAAGCAGCACATAGTCCTTCACTTCAAAAATATTCTCACAGTTGCATCTTACATAAGTACTTTTCTGTTGCGTTTTGAGATCTCTTTCTAATATTTGTGTGCTCTCCTCTCCTGCACCTTCCATCCCCACCTAGGATCTTTAGAGGAGTGATTTAGGAAAACTTGGGTACCATAGTTGTAAACTCCATGTCTATACACATTTGGATTTCTTTTCAGTTGCAATTTAAAACCTAACTTCCTGTTTTTGTAATTGTTACTTTGGGGTTAATTACAGTGTTTGACTTTTCTTCATTGATGCTTTCTTTTACTTTCCAATAGCTATGTTCAATGTTAATGCAAGTTTAAGGGTTTTTTAAACCTAGGAATATGGTGGAAAAATAACATAACTTGCCACGGAACTATTTTTGTTAAATATATTGTAAATTTTTATTGACAGGTTTTAGCTTTGTAAAGGAAATTATCATAATTATTTAGTGTCTTTTTTTAAGTAAAACAGCATAAGCGTTGATAGATACTGGAGTGTGAGCCAAAGTACTCAGGATTGTTTTCAACTCATTACTTTGAGACCAGCTGAAGCCTAAGCTTCTCATCTGATAAGAAAAAGAGTAATATTTGTTTTTGTGAATTCTTCGGAGACCTTTATTTGAAAGACGCTATCAAGATGAGTCCAACAGAATCTTATCTTTTTTTTTCCCCCTGAAAGTTTTCTGCATTAGCTCATCAGTTTTCAGATGTTTAGAATAGATTTGTATATTTGAGTGAAAAAATATGAATGAATGTTGAAACAGTGTTGCATTTCTAAAGTACTCTTAGCACTCTAAGAGCATCAGAAACCCTCAGACATCATCATTTGCTATTTGGCAATAAACATAAAATTTGTAAAAACTTTACTACAGAAGTTGTCAGAGAATTCTAGATATTCCTAAATCACTATTTGTGAGATGACGATCTTTGAGCAACTAAAGCAACTTTGAATTTCCTAGAATAGAGATGAAAAAAAAAACAGGAAAAAGCTTAGTATTAATTATAGAATCTTCATCAGGCTTTAATACTTTGTACTATTTTTTAAAATGAGTGTAATCTTATACTCATTGCAGAATGAGGATTATTTTATTACTGGCATTTTGTCAACTACCAGGTTTATTTTAATTTTTCAATTTTTCTAAAATATTTACCTTTTAAAGCCAACACTGTGGAAGCAACAATTATGAAACACTGCAACAGTGGGAATGTAGCAGCTTTGTATTATCAGTTTTGACCTGAACATACATTCTTTGCGGTGTAGTTATAGCCCTTTGAAAATAGTGTGCTTAGTTGAATTGCATAAAGCATTGTTTTTTCACAGAAGGTACTGGTCCTATCTCAACTCGTCCTTAGCTGTACCTGTTTTAGTAGAGGAAGGATACATCTCAGGAATTGCTCACTTGAGCAGTCCTGTTCAGTCAATTATAAATGTATCTAACTATTAATGTTCTTATGTTCCTTCATAATGATCAAGAATACCTTAAAAATTTTGAAATCCTACTTATGTAAAGTCAGCCTAATTATATACATCAATAAATTTAAGATTGAGATTGTGTGGGTCTTTGTGGAAAAGGGATAATTAATACACACAAAAATGACAGTTTTGCAGGGAAGGATGGGTTCAATTTTGCCCCGAGGACAGGAATTAAAATTTACAATAGGTTTGTAGTGTTTCTTTTGCTGATAATTACAGCTGTTTGGATTTTTAATAATCAATCTGTTGCATGCAAAAAATATTTTTTTTTCTATGTTTCATAAAACAAGTACAAGAATCAACATATTTGAATTAAAATTAGTGTTAAAAATAACTATAGAAATTATTCCATGTCAGGCCATTTTAAACTTCCTGTTATAGTTAATTCATAAGGTAGATAAAATATAATCTGATAGCTTTCTTGAAAAGTGATTTATTTAGCCCAAAAACTATTAGGCATGTAAACATAATTGCTTAATAATTAGAGTTTCACAGGAGGGGAAAAAAGCTTTTTGGTGCCTTATCAGTGTGTTTAATTCCTTAATATATTTTGATACCTTTTACCTTAATTTTGAAATTTTTATTTCCAGTTTGGTTTTTTTCCCCAAATATTATAGCTGTCTTGTTCTTATCCTTAAAATTCTAAAATGTGCTTGTGGCTAGCTATAACTAATCTTTAGTATTAACATAGATACGCAGAATCAAATCTGTTAAGAGAATATGATAATTTATTATCTTAAGTCAGGTTAAGAAGAGTTGAGAATATTAGAACTCAAAGTTGTTTTTCCATTACATAAGGTATTTTAAAATAAAATTTAGACAAATTTAATTTTCTTTTGCCTCAAGAAAGACTTCTTTTTTAGAAGCTTGAAGATTATAATCTCAACATAAAACCAGCTGCATTTGTATGAGTTTTACTAGTGACCCCTCTGAAATGTTTAATTGTTTTGGTTCCTAGAAGACCTCACAAGAAGCGGTAAACCGTGGTGGATGAGTGATGCATCTGCTTTTCCAACTTCACTTCCAGTCAATGACACGTTAAATAGTCATAGTCGACAGAAGAGATCAGTAAGCCTTGAACGGTTTGTGGAAACGCTGGTAGTAGCAGACAAAATGATGGTGGGATACCATGGTCGCAAAGACATTGAGCACTATGTTTTGAGTGTAATGAATATTGTAAGTTTCATCCCTCTCTGCATTCATATCAAAATGCATGTTCTGAAATGATAAAGCAACTGTAAAGTATTTCTTTATTGGCATGAATAATGCCTTAATTCCTGCAAGCTGATATACATTTTAATAGTTGAAATAGGGCAAATGTTAACATTGTGGGGAAAAATGCGGTACTGTTTCTGTCAAGAAATATGCTGTGATGGCTTTTAAATTGTTTGTCTTTGATTTTACATTCATATAATTATATTTAGAATGTACAGTTTTATTCTCTTTAAGTTGGTAGTCTAAATGTTCCTTATGCTGGATGGATTATGAAGCAAGGCATAAATGGTTTTGACTGAAAAGTATGACTGAAGAAGTTTAATTTTTACTGAATGGTCATTTGTTGGTCCAAAAATAACTCTTATTCATGTGATAATGATAATTAACATTATGAAATTACGTTGAGCAGGAAAATAGGTTAATTTTTAACCGTTTAGGAAATAAGTAGTGTTTCTTGTCTGACTTTGTGCCTTTTCTTATTTTCTGGAGGTCAGGTTGCCAAACTTTATCATGATTCCAGTCTAGGAAACATTGTGAATATTATAGTGACACGTTTAATTGTCCTCACTGAAGACCAGGTAAGAGCTGTTGCACTTAAGTTTTATATCCCTGAAATACAAGTTATGCTATTGTGTAATATAGGTTTAGTTTAACTGTTTCTTGAAATGGCTGCATCTGAGTACAAAACCTATCTTGTAATCTTTCACTACTTTAATCAAGATGAAACAGTTCAAATGAATACTCCTTATGTATCATCTCAAAGATATCTGTTGTTTACTTCAGGTGGATATTAATGCACCTTTGGGGATGTCAGTTTTATTTTTAGATCTATATTTTGATATTCTGAATTTTTATTTTTTTTTAATTGACATAATCATTATTAAAGTTGGAGCAGAAAGAATGCTTGTTCAGCTGAACTTGGGGTCAGATTTTACAGAGATAAAATTCGGCAAGAAGAGTTTATTCCTAGAAACCACTGCTTCTAATTATAGTCCAGTTTTTAGTCTTCAAAAGGCTTAACAACTGACCTTTTAGTAATTTGTTTGGAACGCTTCTGGTATGCGTGTTGTATTGCAGCCAAACTTGGAGATAAACCACCATGCAGACAAGTCCCTCGATAGCTTCTGTAAGTGGCAGAAATCCATTCTGTCCCATCAAAGTGATGGAAACACCATTCCAGAAAATGGGATTGCCCACCATGATAACGCGGTTCTTATTACTAGGTATGGTCATTAAGAATTGTGTTTATTTTCTTTTATTTCTGTAGCTTTCTTGTTCTTACTATATATATATATATATATTTTATATATAGCTAGTTTTAAAGTAATATAATTGGTAGGTAATCTTAAGAGAAGGAAAAATAATAGATGGCTTGTCTTAAACATATCAGACTATTAAACTATAAATTAAGATTTTGGAAAAGTAAGATCTACAAATTACTTGCTTCTGCTTTTATTTTCACTTCATAATTGCCAATGCAAAGTATTCCAGTAGAATAGATGGATCCTGTTGAACATTTTATACTTCTATAATTGAAAAGAATTCATAAGATTATGGAGAATAAAAGTATGGGAAACATTTTCTTAACTATAATGGGTTTTTTTATAAGAATTTCAAGCCAGAACCTCAACTATTTTCTGCTGACACAACAGGTTCATGCAGATTCAGGCAATCTGCTTTCTAGCTGTCTTGATTTATTATGCTTAGTTAAGATGAGAACTGTCAGTTTTAATAGATAATTTCAAAGTGTGCATATGTGCACATTTGTTTGCTTCTATTCCACCCTTACTGTGATAGATTCAAATAAGCTTGTGCTGTAATCTTGCAATCCTGGTAAACCTATTCCTGTTTATCCTCTGCAGTTATGGGTAGGCAACTGTACTTTATTAGATCAGTTTCCCTGTTCTTTAAGGACAGTATTTATTCTTTTCTATTTTGTTTAAATAGCAGCAGGTGCAGCAGCACTAATTTGGATTAGAATCTTTGTATTATAATTTCTGCTTTCCCAGGACAAATTCTGTACTGTATGTGACCCATTTGTGGAATCATTGTGTTCACTGCAGAAATTTTTAAAATAGTTGATTAGAATAATTTCTTTCCTGGAATTTTGCATAAAAAGTGTAATAGTAATGACCACCCATGTATTTTGCATTCATATTTCAAATATAATCGTTATGGGCGGTCATTAATACTACATAATAACAATTAGAATGATTAAATGCCAAAGTGATTTAGAGACCAGTTATAGTCCAGGAATTTTTTTTTTTAAAGTCTCTTATATTAAAAAGCAAAAATTGAATGAAATTAAAAATAAAATAGTTACATTCTAAGATCTTGTTTATTTTTTTTCTTCTTTTTATTCCAACAAAGGCTCAATTTTTTTGCATACAATTAGTTCCTTCACTAGGGCTGCTCACATGTGAAATGAAATACATCTTTATGGCTGTGCTACACATCAAGCTTTTACTGGCAGTGAGTGAAAAAGGTGGAATGGGTGTGTCAGTCAAAGCTCCCCAGTATGTATGTATAAGCTGCATTGGCAACATTACATTTTTACTGTTATGGCTGAATAACTGGATGTTTTGTCAGTGTTATTCTGGCACTGCAAAGCATAGTTGTTTATTTTTTTTCACTGTTGTGCTTTAATACCTTTTATTACTGAATATTCTGTACTGCCTTCCCTGTTCTGGTAGGATAGTCCTAGCATAGTTATGAACAGTTCTGTGTTCCAGATGAAGGTTTAAGCCAATGCTAACTTGCAGGCCTTTAAAAAGAGCAAGTGTCCAGAGAACATGAATAATACCTGTTGAAAAGTAAGATTTTCAGTAAGAAGTAGTAAATGTTAAGGACTTAACTTTATTCTTCATTATTGATGCTTAGTAATTACTAAAGTATGCTGCAGAGTTTCTTTAGGACTTGTGTATGCTATGTTTTAAAAAGGACAAAAGAGTTACAAAAGTAACTTCCAAGTTTACTTCTAAGTAGTTTACACTTTGAAGTATATACCTATATTTTAAATTAACAAAGTGCCTCAATGTAGTATCAGCAGGCTAGTAATATCTACCTTTAAAGCATTGCTGAACTTTTAAGTTGAGATATATATCCTTTCACAATAGAATATTTGTATTCATTTATTTACTATAATAATTGTAATTTCTGAAAATAATCACATATGCTACACTAATCAATTTGAATGGATCAATCAGGCTTTTACTGAAACTGCTAGCTATCCTGGCTCTTACTAAAAAGATGTAACAGCATATGTGAAAAATTGATTTTTCTTTTTCTTTTTTTTTGGGGGGGGGGGAAGGAATGAGTAAAGATAAATTTATGTTAATATAAAAATGTAAATACATTAATTCTATGTAATTCTAAATGACTTACTGAAATAGTAACATGCTTGGTTTTATTCTGTTTTGGATATCTCGCATGATGAACCAGGGTTAATGCATTACATGTAAAAGAGAAGGGTGTAGCTACTGTGCTTTAAAGTCCTAAAGTGTTGAAGAGCTCTTTAGTAACCTCTTCTATATGAATTAATTTGAACCTATACTACCATACTTGAGGTAATTTTTTAGCTGCTGTAATAGTGTTTTGAAAGCAGTTTCATGAATCTCTCTCACACATGCTGCTCTGCTTTGTATGGGATAATTACATTTTCATTAGAACTGACACTGGGACCATTTTTGGTCATTGTGTGTATTATTATTTTATGGAAAGTAGGAAAGCTTCAGTTCACCATTATGAATAGTTCTGCATTAATCAAAACCAGATTTTTCAGTAATTGATTTATTTGAAAATATTACCTAGTCCTAGCTGACTACTTTTTTTTCTTAGAAACAGATGGCTTTCCTCCATGATACTTTCAAAGACAGCATGCTCTGGTCTGGAAGAAAAACAAACCAGTGTTGTGGGTGCCAATTCCTTAGGGGTGTCTACTTGACCGTAGACAGACTTTTGTACTTTAAACTAGCTGTGTGCTAAAAACCACTGGCATGGAGGTGTGCCCAGGCTAATCTCCTAAGTCCCATGGAGATGATGTTACCATGCCTGCGAAGCCACTGGTCTTTGGACAAGAGTCTAACTATGTTCAGTGTGTCTGGTGTACAGGCTTCTCTGTTATGGTCCTGCAGGCATCCTGCAGTCTGCAAAGCACTTATTTTAGTAGATGGTGGGGGATTGCAGAAAACTTCTTAGCTGATAATAAAAAATAAGGCAGATAAGAGACTGGTCCAAGTAAGAACCTGATTCTCGATCTGTAGAGCAAAATCATGGTGGTGGAAGTATGGTATTGCTTGCACAAATATGGTAACAAAAATAAGGTTCATTTTCAACTCACTGTGGTGAGTATTAGGACTGGTTTAACTTCTTTAATGCTGCCAGATTTTGCTGTAGGCATAAAAATGATAATTAGCAAGAATGTTTCCTGATTATATTGTTAGCAGAAGCATCTTCCTTCAGTTTCACTGGGGAGCTTCTGAGCATCCCTGAAATTGGTGAGAGTTAGATACCTTGTAAAATGAACCCAGGGGTGGGTAATAGGCCTCATACAGGGTGCTTATTACAGAGTTTTGGCATATCGGGTGACTGTATAACGTGAATATCAGTGTTCTGGGTAATTGCTAATACTTTAGTGTTATTGTGCCTTTGTCTTCTTTTAGTCATTTACTTTCAGAACTTTTGTTCATATTTTCCGAGTCTTAAATCAAGTGCTTAATGTTACTTCAAGATACGACTGTGATTGAATTAAGGTTCTAAAACAATGACAGCTGGATTTTTTTTTTTTTTTGTATAGCATACCCTCTTTGAAATTTCACCTAGACTTGTTCTGTTGGAGACTGTATTTGTCTTAGACTTTAATATTTTGTCCTCTAATTGTCTAAATTGGGTTCTTGGGGGTGAGTGACAGTAAAACACTTACATTTTATTTATAAAGTTGATTAATAGTATAATGCTGTTTCAAAAGTGTCGTCTTTTTTCCATTAAGTGACTTTGACTTTAGATAAACCTAGTGAATCCTTAAAATTCTTTCATATTAAAAAAAAAAAAAGGGGGGGGGGAATAAAACCTTGTATGATTCTCTTATTTCAAGTCTTTTGTCAGACAAAAAATAGTCTTTGTATTTGGTTCCTGTACTCCTGCATCACTAATGTGATAATCTTACTTTTTAGCACAACTAATGTCAGGTTCTCCGATTTTTTTTATTTTTTTTTTTTGTGTGTGTGTGTTTTGTTTTAGGACTCTAAGTTTTAAAAGTCTCTGTATAGTCTCCTTTGTGCATCCTACCCCTGACTTGGAAGTATCTATTTGCTTTTTTGAAGTGAGTTCTTGTTTGTTTGCTGGGATTGCGGATTTTTCAGGGGTTTGTGTGTGTTGTGTGGTATCGTGGTTTTGGTAGCCTGCTGACTTTTGTTTCTTCAGAAACTCTCTAAGAAAGATAGTCTACATAGTTTACCTTAAAAAATTTTGAGGTCCTAATGTATGCTATGGTAGTTACTTTTTTTTGTTTGTTTGTTTGAAGAACACTTAACCCAGATTTCCTTCCATTTCAATCAATTGCTTCCTTCTCTTGATCTTAAAGATCACAAAGTAGGGAATTTGTTAAAACGATATGTCACTTTGGGTTCCTGGCACTTTTAGATCATGAAATTCCTGAACAATACTTTGCTTGCAAGTTAACCATATACACTTTGAACAAAACAATCCTTGTCCTGTGTACCTGCACAGAATGCTAAGGGCCAGAGGGTTGCATTCTGGGTTACGCTTTGTAGCAATGGTGGAGAGGATAACAAAATTAAAATTGTTCCCCCCCCCCCC